TTTTTTTTTTTAATTTAACCACTATTTTTAAATTAACCCAATTTATTGAGACAAACAACAAATATTTTTTGTTTTAACAATCACACACAGAATAAAAATTAAACAAATATCTAATTTCTAATGTTTTATTTATACGCAGATTTAAATAGGTCTTAAGGAAACTTTTGACATCCCGAGGCCACATGAGGGCGCAATGAGCAAAATAATGCAGCACATTTAAATTGTCAGCGCAAGGAAATATCTGTCTATAAAAAACGTGCATTATGTCTAAATTAACTCATAAAAATCAAATATAATTTTGTAAATTGCATAAACAATTATGAACAAAACAGCATCATGTATTTATGCATTGCTTAATCTAAAGAGCCGAAGCGCCATTCACACAGATTGCTTTTAAAAACATGAGACGCAGCAAAAAGGAATAAACCTCCACAAATTCGTGACGTGTTTTCTAAAAGTTTAAACTGTTTTAACTTTGCATGGCTTTCTATGCATCTCTTGTGTGAGACGCGAGTGCAGCAGTCATTTGTCCGTCTAAAAAATGTGCTGAATATGCATTCTGCGTGAATGGCTTGGTTTTAACTAGGGATGCTCCAAATCGATCGGCCGGAGATCGGTATCGGCCAGTAATCACATTTTATGACTCGATCGGTATTCACTAACTTGGCCGATCTCACGAACCGATCGCAATTTGATGACGTCAACGTGTGACGAAGCCACCGGAGCTGATCAGTGCTTGTGTTTATCAGCCAGCCGCAGCACATTACTGAAGCGGCTCTCCGCGCTGCTTGGTTAAAAATAGTCTTTTGTGAGTTGTCACAGCGTGGAGGCCGGAACAAAACCTCGTCGGAGCCGTAAGGGATAACGGTAACATTACACACTGATCATGGGCTGCTTTTAAATTAACATTTATTTATAAAACAAAATATCTTCTTTGGCCATATTAGCCTACTCAATAGCATTAACACAGGCTTTACTCCTTTATCGTCTGCCTCATGAAAAAATTTATTTAAAAAAAATGTAGTTAATAGTTGCATCATTTATGATTTATTTTATCCATCCGCGACCCACCCACAAATAATCAGAATGCATTTTTTATTACCCGACCCGCGGATTATCCGCAGCGCCCGTGGAT